GCCGATCCAGATGTTGGATTAGCTGAGTCGAACTCCATCTGCACTTCAGGTCGGCCGAACATGCTGGCCATGTTCAGCCGACCTGAAGCCACGCAAAACCACCCAATGTACGGCTGATTTCAGCCGATATACAGCTGAAATCAGCCATACCAGCCTGAAGTGAATAGCCGAACAGCGTTCGGCTCACTTCGCTTCAGGTCGGTCATTCACTTGGCTGCCTACGGCAGCTTAGTGAGTAGACCCCTAAGAGTTTAATACTACTTAAAGAGAAAAAAATGAGGATATTAACATTCTGTGTGGCCAGAAAGATCACAAAACGGTTCTTGAGGGCAAAAGTGTGTCTAGTCATATTTCAGTGGTGTCTGTGACAACAGTACATGCTGAAAATGCAGAATAGGAGTAAAAGTTGGTAGATAGAGGAAGTGTGTCCATTGCTTTTTATGATTTTCTCAGGCCCAGTTTTAGATAAAATTAGGCCCAGGACAAAAATGAAAATGGAGCCCCATATGCTTAAATACTGACTAATGATAGTTGTGTCTGAACAGGAGTTTACTTTTTAAAGGCAATTTAAAAAGTGAGGTCTATAGTGTATGTATTAAGTTGTGGCATTTGCAAAATGTGGGTCAATATTGTGGGTCAAATAGTGATGGAATTTTTGGGTTTTTCATGTTGGCACCATAACAATTCACCTAAACCAGCAACATAATTGACAATTTGGACTATAACCCAGAATTTCCAGAAAGGGCATGTGAAACATGTTCCACCAAAAGTGAGAGGGTTTAGAGCAGTGGTTCTCAACCTGAATAACCTCAGGAACCCCTTTTTTCCTGGGTGATTAAGTTCTGTCCCACATCGCACCGCACTGAAACGCGTGGCATTGCATTACCACACGTTCAGATGCAGGCGATCGAACTGTGGGCGGGAGGTGCATTTGGGGCAGTGGCGTAACCAGAGGTATGGGCGCCCAGGGCAGAAATCCCCCCCACCCATATTATATAAACATCCACTGGAACTGTACCCCCCACCCCCACACATATATATCAGCTAAGGACCTACAAGTCCAAGTATGCCATCATTGTCCCTGTACACTAGGTTGTTACGCCACTGGTTTGGGGTGCCATTCAAATGAATGGCAACATAGCACATCTCACGCACCAGACCATGCAGTAGGTGAGATTGCATGCTACAGTGCATTAATTGCACAATCCTCAGATAACTAATTCTAGTGTTATCCCATCACATAAAAACAAACCCATTTTAGCAGTCATTTAAATTCCATAATACCACATTTTTCCTTGGCACTCACTTTCATATAATGCCCTTAGGGTATGAGATTGGGCTACATCAGAACTCAAAAATAACATAAAAAAGAAAAGCCCCATTAAAAGATAAAATAGCACAACCAGACATTGCTGCAATATTCAGCTGTGATCCAGAGATTATATTCCAGAGAGTATAATGAGCACCTTCATAAACCCACAGGTCGTCCTGGACCTACCCATGCTTGTGACTGGACAGTGAACAGAGAAGCAGCAAGATGATGATCTTCTCTCTCTGTCACTATCATCAATGTCCTACAAACATGCTTCTTGTTAGCACATGAACTGATTGGCTGCTTTTTACCTACACTGCATGCAATTAAAAATACATTTAATGATATATTAATAATTGCATACAAGCATTAATGTGTGTCTTTCCTATCTACCCAGAGTTCAGCTTTAAGGCAGAGGCTGAAAACCTACTTGTGAAAGTTATGTATGTTCTTAAAAACCACGTTTATCTTTCTTCCTTTACGTACTAGCATTTTCTGGCTCTGTGAGAAGGTATTTTTTCAGCTCAAGATACAGATAACAGTGGATTAAGTAATGCAGAAAACTCTCCAGACATTCATCAATGATATTATCTCATAGAAGCTACAAGTGTACAAGGCATCCATAACAGGAGTTGCATTCTGAACTTGTATACAGTGTCATTAAGAGGCCATAATCTATAGCTACCTACACTGAACGGGGCACTAAGAGCAACTAATTTAAAGCAATTAATCAAACCACTGCCGCGCCAAGGTCTAAATGGAGGCTGTGCTAATGGATTCATTAGTGTAAAGCTACTGTAAATTCATCAAGGGAGCAGATACATATAATCTGATGGTCAGAGCAATGTCTGTAGCTTGGATGTGGCTAAAGCAGTTTATAATCATTCTCCGGCAATCAGCGGCTGCCTTTTTGCACATTTAGCCCCTGGGGACAGCTGCTTTGTATAATGTTCATAAATATCTCTGCAATCTGCCAAGACATTTCTCCTTGAATAAGAAGCAATTTTATTTACCAGATTCAGCAGTTAGATGCTTGTCAGCGTTGCCATGTTTTATTTATTTATTTTGTTATTTAATTTACTTACCAGTGATTTCAATGTGCACACGTTAGGCAAGGGCACACATGCATTACAAAAATTAAAAGCAAACAAGTTTGGTAAAAACAACAACATTTAGTAATTACAGCACAACATTTCCCAAACCCTTTTCCAGCTGCAGCCTTTCTGACCTGATTTAGTCATAATGAGTGTAATCCTTCTGTATTTCCCATTAGATAATTTGGATATGATGGTTACCAACTGCATCTGGATAATAAATCTATGTTGCAGCTATTATCAATTAACCCATTGCATAGTCCTATATCGTTAAACATATCATGGATCACTATATACTGTAGATGATATGTGTACACTACCAGGTTGTAATGGGAATCTGTCAGAAAAGAAAACATGGAAGCAGCCATTGCTGACTCATTTTGGAAAGTGCAGGCTCCAAGTTTGTCATCCTTATCTATGTCTACTTAGTGAGGTACTGAACCATAATAAGTTGAAACATATCAGGCATGCTGACACTTGGGGGTTGATTGAAAAAACTTGCTCTCAGCCATACGCTGCGCAAATGGCAATCATGTGGCATTCATGCCAGTAGGTGGAGCTGAGGAGCATACAAGATTTACATGCTCCACAGCCCCACCTAGTGGAGTGGCCGGAATGGCGTGCTTTCACCCAGTACATATCAGGCATGCTGACACTTGGGGGTTGATTGAAAAAACTTGCTCTCAGCCATACGCTGCACAAATGGCAATCATGTGGCATTCATGCCAGTAGGTGGAGCCAGGGGCTGACTGGCAACTTTTAGCCCAGGGGGCAAGTACAACCTAGAGGCCCATGGTGCAGCAACTTGGCCTCGCTCCCGCAGCTGAGGAGCATACAAGATTTGCATGCTCCACAGCCCCACCTAGTGGAGTGGCCGGAATGGCGTGCTTTCACCCAGTACATGGCGGTTGAGAAGTTTTATAAGTGAACTCCTTGATATACATATGCTTATCCCAGGAAAGTGACTTCACAAAGAGTGAAGGATGGATCAGGATATGCACCTCAAAAAGTCAACAATTGTGGCTTCCATAATGTCATCCTTACAGGCACCTTTTTGTAAGTTATGAAAGGTAGCAGCTTTAAAATATCTTTGCTACTGAAATGACTACTCAGGCCAGTCACGTGACCAGTCATCTAAATAGTGTGGTCATGTGATCCCAGCCCATTAAAGCAGTCCAACCAAACAATGAAGCAAGATGGCAATAGATTAGTTATAGTGAGTTTATAGGGCAATATTTCTTGAAATAGTTAGGGGTGAGGACAAACTAGGTCTGGTCACTGACATGAAAAGCACAGAAAAAGGAAGTATAACCCACAGGTTTCAGAGTCGGAGGTAAGAATATATAAAGTCATTAAAACTACCAAGAACAAAAAAGTTGAATTGCTGTCTGGCCTTCTTTATATGAATTGCAAAGATGGAACTATTGGCAGTGTAGGCAATACATCCAGAAACAAAAACTTTACTTTAAATATATTCCTCAATACCCACAATATAAAATCCACTTTGTGCGCACCAATTGCCTTTGCAAATCGAGATATTTGCTTGTTAAAGTAGCAATGACATCAGCGCTGTGCATAGCCTGTGGAGAGAGCAGAGCTATGGGAGGGACCCAACAGACTCCCACCCACCACAGGCTGCCTGCAGAAAACTACAGGAGGGGGAGGAGACAAGACCAGCTGCCATGCACAAAGAGAGAGAGAGCTTCAGGGACTGGTCTTTATTACAGAAAGTACTGGATTAAGTTGGGAAGGGTTAGTAACTCTGCTTTTATAGCTGACTGTGTCCCCGCTTTGGAGATTCATCCCTCTCTTTGTTAAACCTTCTACTGGCAACTGTCTAAAAGAAGAATTCCCTTCACTTTGAGAAGATTTCCCTCCCTTCCTGTTGTGTCTCAAAGAAAGCAAGTGAAGATAAATCTCCCTAACTTAGAATGAAGACATGGGTATACATACACTTCTACATACAGTACATAAACTTATAAGGCAAGTTAATAATAACTATTTGTAAGAATGTAGAAATGATAGCAAAATTATATCTTTGTCTATGATGATGTGATGTCTGCAATAAATCTTCAGCAATCTGCATCATCTCATTAAAAAATGTCTACTGTATCATGTATTTATATTTCCAGTTTGAAGGCAGCATTAACTGCTTGCTGTCCGCCCGTTGTGAAAAGACGGATGGACGACAGACTTATATGGGCAGGTTGCCGTAATTAGACGGCTTTTTTTTCCTGCAGAAAAAACCCGGCCGTTCCTTAAAGTCCGTTAGCGGCTGTTTGAGATACAACCGATCGGCAGCTCTATAGCCACCGATTGGTTATATGTTGTGTTTTGCTCGAGCCCCCCTCCGCCCCGTCAAGTGCCGCCGCCTGGAGTGCTGCCCCCTCCTGACCCCTCACCTCCAATCCCGGGATCCGCAAGCCCATCTGCGGCCCGGGAACGGCTTCTTTGGTAAATTTGATGTATGGCACGAAGGAGAAGGGGTATTGACTGGCCTAAGCTAAAAGTTATTATTTTCATTTTATTGCCATTACAATGATTGTGGAGCACTACTGACCACATGTTTTATGTCTCCTAATTTTTAAATGCAGGACACTGAACTTCTAAACACAGCTATCCTGACAGGAAGAACTGTGTCTATACCTGTGAAGGTGATGGCCGTCCAGGAGGAAGGCACTGTGATTGATGTGTCTGACTCTACTGAGTGCAGGTCAGCAGATGAAGATGTCATCAAGGTGAGTACCCTTAATTTAAGGTCAAGAAATAGAAAGACTGCCTTTGCATTTTAAACATCTGACAGTCAGATGAATATTGTACAGTGTTTGTGCCTTACACATTGGTATTGTTGACTAGTATAGAATTTCGCCTTCTCTAGAGATTTACTATTTTTTTCCACAAGAGGTGTGAATTTCTGTAACCTAGGCGGCTGATATATAAATCAACATCACTGAACACTAGAGTAATTTGAGAAGAGCTTGAGGCTGGCTGAAGTCACAAAGTTGCACTTGCGCTTGCTTAGCAGTGTTCTGAATGGGTTTGATTATTTCCATTCAAAGTTTTACTCAAAATCCTTGCAACACAATCAGGGCTATTCACAAAAGGGTGAAGAGTTCGGAGAAGGCATGAGAAGTGAACAATCTGGGACAACGTAGCTGAACTGGAAAGTGAACTGAATTGGAGAATTTTTCGAAATCAGCTATTTTGGCCTAGATTGTTCACTTCTCCTGCCTTCTCCAAACTCTTCACCCCTTAGTGAATAACCCTATATATAACAACCTCTTCTGTTTTACTCTGCTAAACAGTTCAACAGGCCCAAAGTAGCAAAAATAAGGCAACTACTGTTAGGTCCATAAATGACTGAAGAATGCCGGATGCAACACTATGATGTTTTATACATGTTTTATAAAAGAGGCTTTTATGCTACCAATTTACAACATACTGGGCAAATAATAGGTTCTCTTTATTGCATAAGCCCATAAAGTGTATGAATAGCCAATACTTTTTTTTCTCATTCTGGATAGAATAAGGAAGGGTTTAAAGCCTGCCAGATTATTTTTGTTTTTGCTGTTTGTGTACCACTGGAAAGCTTTCCCTTCACTTCCCAGTCTTCCCTGTCACAGAAATGCAACAGGAAGAATACACTTTTGAGAGATTGCATACTACAACATGACAAGCACCTTTATGCACCTGATGATTGCCACTGCTTTTTACCTCCCACAAACTCTCCTTGCTGGAACATTACTGTTTTTACTTCTACTGATGGTGCTATCCTTACACCTAAGATGTCAGGCAATCACTATTACCTGCTTTGGTCATTGTGTTTTACCAATATCTCCTTTTCGGTTTATGCATACCACGTGATTGATGCATCCCTCTGTGACACTGATAACTGCCCTGGCTTATGACTCACACTGATTTTCCATTAGGATCATCAACCACTCTGCATCTGCTGACTGGTATTTCATCCTACCCAGGTCCCCAGTTATTTGTCACCATCTAGTTCGGGCATTCCATCTTGAACTAAACAATTTTTATTTTTCTTTATTTTCCTTTTTTACACTTTTATATGCATATGAGTGTCACTGTCAGCGACCGGGGCACACAAAATGACAAAAAGTAGCGTGCAAAAAATAGTGTCTGGGGTGAAAACACAGGAAGTAGGTGTCTGTGCGTTAACAGGGACGCACTAGAGGCGCAGGTTCTAAGAAGGGCCAGGTGTTGGACAGAGCCTCTAATGGTGGGGATGATTGGCTGCTGGACACATTCCAGGTTGTGGCCCTCTAGCATGCCCACACATACATAAAGGTTAGTTGCAGCAAAAATGGGTTCAAACAAAATCCTTATTGCTACGTTATGCTCCCTCCACCGCTTACTATGATTATAATACCCCTGCCTCATTATGGACTACCATTACTACGCTAATTGCACGTTTCTGCAATAAAAACGATAAGTAATTTGACTTTATGCGTTCTTTCTTACTGACAATACTTGGTAATCATCTTTTTGATATTTATAAGCCCTTTTATACCCCTACATGAGTGGTATCCTGGAATGTAAATAGCCTAAGGTCACCAGCTAAGCACATGATGGTATTGTGTTAGATATTTTGTTTCTGCAGGAGACTTATCTTCCCCAAGCAGACACCGATAGACTGTGGAAATTGTGGGTGGGAGAGGTTATTAGTTCTCCAGCCATGGGTAGGAAAGCATGTGTGGCTATTTTATTTCACAAATCTCTTTCGTATAAGTTTGAACAGGTGACAACTGACCCTGAGGGACGTAAATTGTTTGTGAAAATTACTGTTCATAGCAACTTTTATTTTTCGCTAACTCACCTACGGCCTCATATTTCCAGGAGACCATTTCATGGATCCTTCAAGATGACAATACAAAAACTTCTAGGGGGCGATTTCAACTCTGTTATGGTTTTAGATGAGGATAGAACTGGGGATGATGATTCTTGTGCTGGTCCCTCTCCGTCCACATCTCTTTATGATTTATCTAATACCTTAAACCTCGTAGATGTCTGGAGGGTTCTGAATCCTCTCGAGCGAGAGAATACACATTTTTCTGTGGATGCACTAGTTACTGAGGTAACATTATTCCCTATAGCCGTATCCGACCATGCACCTATTTTGATTCACCTACAATCATCTCTACCTAGAGGTGATGCCTTCCTGTGGTGCGCCCCCTCTTATTTATCCACAGACACTTCTTGTTGACTGAAGCTTGGTAAGAATATGAGTCTTACAATAAGGAACACATAGGCACACCAAATCTTTTTTGGGAAATGGGAAAGGCGTTTTTAAGAGGAAAAATTATATCTTTCGTTGCTGCAAAAAAGAGAAATGACAAGTCCCAATTTATCCATGCTAGCCACTCCATTTGCCAAGCCCAACATGAATATTCAAAAAATCCTACTCCAGAATACAGGGAGGTTTGGCAAAAGGCTAAACTTAATTTTGAATGGTGGACCACTCAACAAAACCTGTATTATAATTCTTATTCTAAATTACATTTCCACAAGTTTGGAAATAAATTGGGCAAACTAATAGCAAATCTGACCAGACCACACGCTCCCAAGTCCCATATTTCTTCCCTCCGTTCAGATACCAGAGAACTTTATTCAGACCCGAAACAAATTAATTTATTGTTAGAACAATTTCATAGCAAATTTGTACTCAGCCACTCCTACAGATATGGATTTAGGCTTATATTTTTTTAAGTCAGTATCCTTACCGACAATAATGGAGAAAGACCTAACCTATTTAAATGCTGATATTTCCCTGGAGGAAATTTCTAGAGCCTTTAAAGCTTCCTCCAACGGTAAATCCCCAGGACCAGATGGTCTTACTAACGAATTCTGTAAGATGCTACTAGAACATATATCATCTACCTTACACAGGGTTTTTAATACCATGTGACAGGGTGGTGAGTATTTAAAGACTGGCACAGAGGCCTACATAAAAGTGTTGCACAAAAAGGACAGAGATCCCACTCTACCAGGCTCTTATCATCCAATTTCTCCTTTTAACAATGATGCCAAATTACTATCCAAAATAGTGGCAGACAGACTTGCTAACATATTACTGCAATTGATCTCCCCCACCCAGGTGGGTTTCATTACGGGCTGCTCGGCTGTATCTAACAATTATAAAATACCAACAGTCCTAGAATATGCCAAGTGTCATCCAGCCTCCTCTTTAGCCCTTATTTCAATTGATCCTGAAAAGGCGTTTGATATTTCAATTTTCTTGGCTTTTTAGGGTTCTGAATGAGATGGGATGCTCTGGCCAGTTCAAGACCTTTGTGACAGCACTTTCTGCATCCTCCTGTGCTCATATTTGCACTCCTAGATGTATCTCAACACCCTTTCCACTGATGAAGAGCACCAGACAGGGTTGCCCTCTGTCTCCCCTTTTATTCAATATGGCTTTGGAACATCTATCACTTAACTTCCAGAACACTCCAGACATCTTCGGGGTCCCTCTTCTTACATCCCAACTCAAAATAATGCTTTTCACGGACGATATTATCTTATTGTCAACCAACCCTTTTCGAGATCTCCCTATAATTCAGGATATTTTTCAACAATGTCATACATTCTCTGGTTTAAGCATTAATATCTCCAAATCGGAAGTCCTCCCTCTAACTCCCTCTGCATCTATCTCATTGTGTTCCCTAAAAACATTCAGCATAGCTAAATAATCTATTACATATTTAGGCCTTCAGATAGACAAAGTCCCTTCTTCCTTGTACAATCTTAATTGTCCTCATCTTTTTGAAATAATATGTAAGGAACTGCTTCTCTGGAAGGATCTGCCCCTTTTCTTTGTTTGGTAGAATACATTTAGTTAAAATTGTATCATTCGCAAGGCCTTCCCAATATTAGATTGTATAACTTAAGCTGTCTCCTTAGATGTCTCCTCCTCTCATTACTCCAACTTCCTCTTGGAATCAGAGATGGTACATCCTTGGAGACTCTCTCTTACATTGCTCCTTTTCCACCTTACCTCCTCTCACTCTGTCAGAATGTTTATACTGCTCTGATAAACAGTTTTCTATTCATGAAAACAAGCAAGGATCTGTAATTAAGGAGATTCCCAACTTATTTCCATAAATCAAAATTTACACAAGTTCTTTTATTTGCGCTAACTTGAAGACAAGATGAATACAATCATATACAAAATATATATATTTATTAATTAAAAATCAGTGCAAAATAATAACTAAATATAATTGGTGACAAACAAAGAATAAAGATCAGAAAAATGCAATCAATTTGATAACACAGGTAATGTGTAAAATTATTACCAAAGGATATCATTCAAAATATAAATGTATAACTTTTTAAACGCAATGGATATCTTATCAGTAGCTCACAGAATAAGAAAACAAAAAGGTTCAGAATTGACATGTGACTTCTCCTAGCCAACAGACATTCACAAACTCAAACTTTTAACAGCGCATGGGCAAGATTTGTCCCATCATGCACAGGGTTGGCTATAAGCCAAGACTATATTCAAAGTAAAGAAAACATTTCCACCAATTTAATTATATATTTATATCAGACTAGACCATTGACTAGAAACTGAAATCAGTTTCATGGAGATTATACAAATGTATATAACAAATCTATATATTTATCTCCCAAGAAGACATAATTTGTACTGCAGTTAAAAATTACCTCAAACCAATCTAGATCCTACAACAACTGCTGGCTCTTGCTACAACTT